TAACTACTCTCTCTCTCTCTCTCTCTCTCTCTCTCTCTCTCACTACTTGGCCCTAAAAAATTTTAGCTTGAACATGGGACCTGGAGGTCCAGGAGGTGGGGGCGGGCCTGGTTTTGGAGGTCCAGGAGGAGGAGGAGGGGGCGGACCTGGCTTTGGAGGTCCTGGTTTTGGGGGTGGTCCTGGTTTTGGACCTCCAGGGTTCGGACCAGGGCCGGGCTTCGGCCCTCCTATTCTTGGAAACTACTGGGGAGGTGGTCTGTTTGGTTGTTTCGAACAACTGTAAGTTCTCTAACTGGTATCTCTCGCTCTCTCATATCCATCTAATTTTTGAAGGTTTAATTAGGTTCATTCCTTTGTTTACGAATGGAATGTGACTTATCATTCATTTGCCTATGCAAAAACAAGAAAACTATCGACTGTAGAAGAGACAGTTATGATCCGAGAGACTCAGACTCTTGTACCTATGTGACAAATATTTGATGTGTCCCATAATCCATGCTCTGTATTAGGGGTGGCAACGGGTTACGTGTGGGTTGGGTCCGGCAAGACTCAGACCCAGACTCGAATAGATTCGAATCTAGGTTTTGGACTTGGACCCGAACCTGACCTGTCGGATCCAAAAATTAGACCCCATACCCGTACTTGTCGGGTTTCAGGTCCATTGTCACCCTCACTATGAGCTTGTTTTTTTCTTTTCACGGGTATGGATCGGGTGCAGCTCGGGTCCAGTTGGACTTGGACCCGGACCCATATAGTGTTCGGGTCAAAGTTTTGTACCCGGACCCTAACCATTGCTCTAAATACTAGACCCATACCTGACTTAAACCATCAGGTCCAAATACTGGACCCATACCCGACTCGTGTCGGGTATACCCGGCGGATCCCAAGTGTTGGGTTTATGTGGCCTTTTAAGGGCTTTATGAGAGCTCGTATAAACATTGTAGGTCGTGAAACATAAACTCAATGGGAGTGTGGTCCTCATGTAGACTATATTAGGCAAATGTAATTTACCGATAATAGGACTAGGCTCAACGTGTTAGGCCAGTCAAGTTGGAAAACCCCAAGGTACCTAGGCATAGAGATAAAACCGAGAAAGATTTAGTGAATTAGCCCTTGATGAAGTCGGAGTATGCCCGGATAAGAGTCGAAGGATTGTGTGAACCTTGTGTGTAATGAATAGCCTGTAGAGATATGGCTAAAACCTTATCGTTGTATCATCACACGGCATATATATATATATAGCCGTATTGAGCTAATGATTCACCATTGATGGCAAAACGTGTACATGTGCGAAAGATTATCCCTATACACCATAGAGTTGTGGTTGTAGCATGGTCTAGGAGGCCATAGTTTTTGTCTCTAGGGGAGAACCTAAAATCTACATATTAGGATTGTGTCCCCTAACCTATTGGTTGACTTTAGTGGTTCAATCATGAGCCCCTATAGTGGATTGTGGCTCATGGGAACTGCTGGGTTAGTTTGAGAAAGCTAGTGTGGATTGTGGTCCGCGGTTAAAGATGGAGTACTCAAATACATTGATAAATTCCTAGGCCTAGATGGGTCCGATTCTCATCAAAATTAATTAATTTAATTTTATGTTATATGATTTTTAGAATATTTATTTGAATTTCTGTGATTCTCTTGATATTTTGTTTTTATCATTTTGATCTATAAAATAAGATAAAATCAACTCTCAATGTTTTAAATAATCAAAGTGACAAAAAAATCATTTTAATTCATAAATATTTGAGAGGGTCCATGGGGGCCTAACAAGTCTACCATTGTGATATGTGTGGGTTCACATAGCGGCCCATGGATAGCACACCCCACTTAGTGGGGGTCCTTTTTTATTTTCTATTCTTGTGAATCAAGGCAATCAATTAAATTGAAAATTTATGGAAATTGTTTTATAGAGATTTTGATTAAAACAAAAATGGAATGCCTTTACTATCAAGATTGCTTGACTAAAAGAATCGGGAATAAATATTTACTACATGAGAAAGTATGAGTAATATTTTCTTTATTTAAATATTTGATGGGATTAGGTTTAGGAGATGGAGGATAAGTTTCTAGGGTCGAGCACTTTTTTTGAATCTTGATGGTGGATCTAAAAAGTTGATTAATCGAATCTCTCATTATACAAGTGTCTTTAAATCGATAATCAAGATTTGATCCTACAAATTGAGACAGACCCTAAGACATAAGAAATCTATAAAAAGAGACTCTCCCCTTACCAAATCTTTATACCTCTTCTCTCTTTTCTTTTTAAGAGTTATTTTCTCTCTCTAAGATTCCTAAGGGAGCCATGCCCCAACCTAACATACATCTCTCTCTCTCCCAAGTTATTCTAAGGGGCCACGGCCCAATCTAGCCTCTCAATATCTCTAACGGTGGTACACTTAGGGCTAGGATATATCACATCTCTCTTTTGTGGATTCTAAAAGTTGGCATGTCCATGCTAGGCTGGATCTTTATTTTTGTGGGGTAGTAAAGATCTCCCCATCTCTCTTTGATTTCTGAGCATTTTTCTCTTTAAAAATCAAGTAAAGAGGGTTTGAGTAAAACTAAGGAATTCATACCTTTGGTAGTTGGTTTTAAATCGAGATCCATATGCTTTTGAGAAGGTTTTGTCATAAGTAGAATAATCAATAGATCCATCATAGATTCGAGCACCATCGGAAAGAGGAGACTCGGTGTGGGTGTACTATGCTCAATTGAGGTAATCTCTGGTAATTTTACTTATTTAAATTTTAATTTTGTGTTGAGCTCTTCTATTCCCATAAAGCACTGAGTTAAATTTTTTATTTAAATAATTGTATTCAATGGTAGTCGCAATTGAAAACCGTATTTCACTTCTTTTCTTCATTTGTTTCAAGAGTTATTTATTTGTAATTGGACATTATAAGTGGTCTTGCCGGTGTAAGAGTAATAAAAAATATGAAAATTTTTAATTTAAATACATCACTCGATCACATAGTCCAACTTTCACCTCGTTGGGTTTAGGTCCATTGCCACCCAACTCCATATCCTTGAGATGATCAACAATAAACCGATCAGCCGAAATTGTCTAAAAATTTGGAAGATTCATGTCAGCTTCACTAGTCATACATATGCACTGCTCACGTAATAAGGAAACCTTATGTTTAAAATGTTTATAGATATATATATGGGGTGGTTTGCGTAAGGTTGCAACCTTAAACAACTAAATTAAGGTGCGCTCGTAAAATTTATCACGAGATACAATATTTCTATTGAAAATTATTAGAATGGTGCGAAAATCTATTTTTATCTTTAATTATAAAATTTTAAACTGCACAATGGGTTCCAATGAAACATATCTATAAATATACGAAAATCTGGCAAATAAAAGATTACATATTGTGTTACAATATGCATTATTTTCAGGACTTAAAATGTATATATTTTTTCAAATCTATACATCTTGATGTGGAGATCATCAATTAGATATTTTCCAACATCAAAACAACATTTTTCGAAGGATTTTAAAGTTTCACCTTAATTGTTCATTTTTAGGTGGCTACCTTATAAGGATTTTAGACTTTTCAAGTGGCGTACATAGTGTTCATGAACACCTCGAGATGGATTTGAAGTTGGTTTAAGAATATCAAATACTAATTGCTTTAATGTACAATGCTACAGGCTACAGATCTTGTGTTGCTGCTGGCTATTTCAAGCATGTTGTGGAGGGTGCTGCCCACAGTTTTATGGGCCGCCTGGACCGCCCGGACGACCTTTTTAGTTTACACGAATGTTAGTCATAGACCTTATCAAAAGTGGCTACTTACTTTTCATTTGCTTCTATAACCTTTTCTTTTTTTTACTTGTTTGCAAGTCATTTGAAGATTTCTATGTCAGTCATTATTAGTGAGTGGTCGTATTTTCTATGTTCTTAACGTGTTTGAGTTACATCATACTTCATATGAAATTAAACTCTTTTAATAAGACTGAATTGCCAATTAAACTGTATGTTTGGGAAGACCACTAAAAATGAAATGTTACTTTTTGAAAGATTTATTTCTAGTATTTTTCTCTATGTTGCGATGGCGCTAACGACTTCTCGAAACATTGTCTAATGAGTTTGGTTATCTAATAACCTTTTTCTCTAAGGAAAAAGTTTGTATAAGGGTGATACCTCAAA